GTTTTGCATGCTTTGGATTTTCAGAGCTATTTACAGTTTATGCATGTGACATTGTTTTGCCAATTCCTACATTAAGCAAGTAATATTAAAGATATGGATGCAAACTGTACCAGCACTTTCTGCAGTTGTTACAATATGCTGCGCTGTCCATATTGTTGGCATTATTACTGTGAATATTTTCTCTGTATGACTAAGCAAACCACATTTGAGAGGCAGTGAAGCTCTGCAGTTCTGTAACTTCAGTGTTATCTACTTTCTAGCCTGCCACTGTACCACCTTCCGGGGGACCATCAGCGGGAACAGTACCGTTCTACAATCCTTCTCAATTTGCACAAGTGAGTAAAGGCCTCATCTTTACTTTGAACACAACCGTAGACTTGTTAGCCCTGACTGTTAAACCAAGTAGTGAAATGTTGCTCGAGTAAATTGCAGTCATGCTGGACCTTCTTAAGTGACCACAGGCCACACCTACCTTTTAATAAGTAACTTGGTGTGGCCTTAAATATCAGTACAAATTCCGCCTTTTCTTCTCCCAGGTGCCTTTTGAAACATAGTCTTTGTGTTCCTTCCCCCAGTCCCCACCCCCAGCTCATTCTTACAGTGAGGTAATCCAGTCTGTCACCTGGTTTGCCTCCGGGCTTTCCCTGCCTTTGTAGCATTTGGGGAATTTTGCAAGATAAAGTAATGGAAAAAGCAGCTGCTACACTGCAGTCTTTTTCATCTGTTTTCAAACCAAGTGTGAAGGGTTAAAAGGCTGTGTGATGAAAGAGGCCATCTCACTGTCGCAGGTACCTGCATTACAGCGAGGCTTGTTGTACATAGAACAAGGCTCTTGCTACTGCAGGATGAGTTTCTCTTGCCTCATTAGAGCCACAAAGATGAAAACTGTTTAAATGTGTACTGCTGTGAAAGTCTGGTGCCGCTGAAGTGTGATTTAGCTTTGACAGTCAGCATCCCCTGGCAAGCAGACTCTTAATCTTGGATGCATTTTGATTTTATGTTTTGCTAGCTTAATCTGGACTGTTGCATGCAGAGTGTTAAATGTGCACGTAGACCAGTCTAGCACCTGTTTAACTTAACAGGTTTGCGTTCAAAACTTTATTGCCAACTTTCTGTGTTTTGTCTCCAGTAACTATTTTTTTATTCCTGTTCTCCTTTTTTCAGTCTCCTGCAGCCACTGGAAGTTCAAGGCTGGGAAGAATTGGACAGAGGAAGTATCCAACATTGAAGTAGAATACAATGGCTTTGTGTTTGGAATTCTCACTCATGTTCTGAGTATACAAAGAACTGTTCAATCTTACAGCACATGGTATCAGTACTAGCTGCAGTTGACTTGACAGAAACTTAATGATGGGTGATTTTTTTTTTCATGGGTCTCCCTACTTGCACCTCATCTACGCAAACCATTACCAAACATGAAGTATATGTAACTTTTCCTTTTAAAAAACCTGGCTAGAAATAGCTTTGCTGTGATAAAGAATAGATACAAGGGAGGAAATAGTTGCTGTCTGTTACAAAAACTATTTGTAAATTGCATAGGCAATTTATTCCTTAAGTTTATTTTAAACCTACTAGTGTGACCTTGGAAGACATAGTTTCAGGGATTCCTTAATTTCTGAAGGATGCTCCCCTCCCAGCGAGGGAAAAACATGTCCACATTGTAACATAACGCTCTGTGGCCTTAAGAGGACCATGCACAATCGTAATGCTTTATCAGACGGGGCTCGGTTTGTCAGCGTATGAAATCAGAGATGTTCGTCTGGGAAATGCCTCATGCTGGTTTGTTTTCTGAAGGGGGGAGGGGGCCACAGCTCATCCAAATAAATTGACCCATATTGAATGAAAACTGTGACTGTAATCTAATACTAATTTGATTTGGATCTTACCTAGTATGTATGTAGTTTGTGGTTTAGACTACTTGTAAAGCAAATTGTATAGTCTGAAAGCAGCTCACTGTATAATAGCCAATGCTGTACTATTTGACGAGCGAGTGTTCTTTTAAGTGCAATACGGTTACTTGCTTTCTCTCGAACTGCTGGCACTGTACGATTAAGGTGGTAACAGCTTGAAAGTTGTTTAAGTTTTTTCCTCTTGAGTGCCAGAATCAGCATAATGCTTGGTTCTTGAATTTCCAGTACTAAAATAACCAAGGTCTTAAATAGCTAACAGCTGAATTTCAAACGTACTAAAAGTAGACGGATTAGACCTCTACTGATGGACTTTAAAATCTTTAGGTTTAATATAGGAAATCTTGAAAACCATGATATGCAACATTCATATTCACTGAAGAATCTGAATTATCTGCAAAGAGAGAAATAAACTTTAAATATTTATTAAATCATTAGGCCATATTTTATTTAGAACTTGCCACCAAACTATTTGATTTTACTTGAATTTCTGCCCATGAGTAGAAATAACGTGAATGTGAAATTGCCAGTGTTGGTCCCCGATTGTTTTTTCTGTTCCTGAATAACGCCACCTTTCTGAGATCTCGATAGCCTTACGTATGTCCTAAGAGGTTTGTATGTAGCCGAAGTAAAATGCTGTTTTGGGGGGATTAGAAACCTTTGCATAATGGCCCATACTCAATTCCAGATGTGGTCAGCAGCAGTCGGTATGGTTTACTTTTCTATAATTGAAGCCTAGTCAGACACTTGGCTTTCCTCTAGTTCAGCCAGGCTGCTGATTATTTTCTTCTTTCAGTAGAGACTGCCAAACAACTTCATTCAAGAAGGCTTCCTTTGAGCTGGGAGCGGCTATCTTTCCTAAGTGTAAGATTTGACACTGTAAATTCTTAAATAAAATATTTTGCGCTCTGGAGCACTTTCACATTTTACTACTACTTGTGGTTATTGCTTTAGCAAGCTGGGTGAAGGAGCCTCTCCGGTACGTTTGGAAATAATCTGTTTAAAGGCCGGGAGCTGGAGAAGCGCTGCCTCTGACCGGGGCTGTTCTGCGCCGGAACCGGCTTCGACCCCGAGGCTGCGCGTTAAGTATCTTCATTGAAATGCTCAAAATTGAAGCTGTAGGCTTGATATAAGCAGCTTTTATTTTATTTTTTTTTTAAAGTGTAAAATGCTTTGCTTTAAACTGCTTATTTAAACGCCGCCTTAGTCTCGGCCGTGGGTTTACACGGCTGCTTTACTTATTGATCGCCCCCGCAGGGCGGGGGCTGGCGGCGCGCTCCTCCGGCCGCCAG